CTAAAGATCACAGCAATGCTACAATGTTGAATGTAGTATCTTTACTAGAGAAGATCAACACATTTATGGTACTTGTTATGTAACTATAAATCTGGTGATAGTATTTATTTCAATAGTCATTTGTAAAGAGGATTAGATGCAATTCACACTGACTTTGGGAAGGGCAACATTACATATTCAAGGTCTTGCCCCAGAGCTACGCAAACTCTCCTGACCTCTGTTGCAATTTAGTCTGGAGGAACCTTAATCATCTGGATATGTTGCAAAATAACATACCGGTCTGTTATATTGATGACATAAGATTCATTGGTTGATTTCATAACCCACTAATAAATCCTAGTCAAATTCACTGGAATTCATTAGAGTTGGAAAAACACTGACCTAGCTCTTACTCCATTAATATGAACAGATAATGAAAATCATATTAAGTAAGGGGAGCATTAGCAAGCCAACAGAGAGGACTAAACTTTGGAAACAAAGAAAAATAAGCCTCACTAAAAATTAGTTAATAAAAATAAGAGAAAAATAAATTCTACACAACAATGACTTCTAGGTCAAAATCACAGAGTGAAACCTTGCTGAAACAGTACCATCTCTAGCTACAAACATATTGTAATGACAGATAAAATACTCAAGTTAAATTAAAATTACACATATGCCTCAAATATAAAAGGAACATTTCTGTGAAATCAGAAATGGAGAGGAGATTGAAAGCAGTGAGTACAGGTGGATGTTGCACAACCAACTGGAAGACAAGACATGATAAAATAGGTGAGAGACTGGGATCAATGCCTGTCCAGGAACCAGAGCCAAGCATGTTCCACACATGGTTGATTTCTGGATCTAGCGGCTAGGACAATGATCTCTCTCATGATCATGGGCTAAAATTGATCTGTGCTGAACACCCATATTTCTGGTTGTTACACTTTCCCAGAACATGAGACAAGAAGATCAAGTACTATGAAAGATAGTCAGCACTGCTAATAAATGAGACAGCTCACAATCGAGGAAACAGAGAAAATGGACTTAAAGGATATTTAAAACTTTCAAAGAGATAAGGAAGACAATAGCATTGATTTAAAAAAATAAGAGTTTCTAAAACAAGACAGACACATAAAATCTACCACTATACTTCTTATTTAAATCAAACCACAGAAACATCAAACCACACAACACACGCAGGGGGACTCAATAGTATCAAGTCCAAGATGGTTCCCAC